TTCTATGAATGTTCGCGCTCCTTTTTCTTACTGTTACCGTGCACTACCGTATGTTAGCCACGTGAAACAAAAATTTTAGAAATTGCATTTCAGCCACCGAATTGAATTTTTGTATTTTTATTTATTAATTTAATTTACAATATTAATTTAGAACACAAAATTGCCATTTTTAATAAAATTTTTAAAAAAAATTTTAGGACGTACCTCCTCGGAAAACCCGCGGTATTGTGAGGGGCCCGTGATAATATTTTACATATAATATATTTGAAAACCCGCAATATATCGAGTCCGCGATAGCCGAACCGCGATATGGCGAGGGATCACTGTATAGTAGTATTTAAACACATAATCTTGTAGTTAGGGAACAGAGAACAGATTCACTCCTCCTGCAGTGGAATAGATACAGTATTACATGAGAGCCATGAAGACGCGGTCCCATGCCAGCCACCCTCACACACCTTCCGAGCATTGTCTAAACTGTCCAGTACATGAACTTCTAGGTCGCATTGACCTAGCACACATTTCCTTTTTCTAAATCTGAACAGAGCACACGAACAGTTCACATAAGGCTACAGCTACAGTATATCCATTCCCTATCTAGACTTCCTCCGGATGTTTACCCATAAGTTAATCAAGGGGGACACAGCCCCTTGAGCAAGAGAAGAGAAACGGATCAAGCTTGCATAGACACTTAGCTCAGCCTTACATCCTTACACAACTATTACAAATAATATCCATATATTATTTATATAGAACTACATACTGGTTTATTACATATTCCCTCTGGAACCTTGTTTATTGTTAACCACTACATTTTGTTTATTATTTTGCCATTTAAATACACCATCACTTCTCAAAATAACTATGACTTTAATGCTTTGTCTAGACCCACATTACATAAATCAATTTTGCCCTGTATTGTTAAATGTTAGAATATCAAATTTAATCAAAAGACTCTTATGTGTGGTGTATTTGCTAGCTCTACGTCCATCTATCCTCCTTTATCCGGGCTTGGGACCAGCAAAGTCACCCAAAAGAGACACTGGCAGAGTTACAACATTAATAATCTAAATGGACCAAAAAGACACAATAGAAAAAACTGTCAATGGCAATGTGAGAAAATGATGGTAACTAGTTGTGCTCATAGCAAGCCTCACCAGATGACTTCAGACCATATCGGACATACAGGATGGAGTTAAGGGTCTGCAAGGACATACGATTTCTAAGTTTGCTTTTTACCACACTCATTGGGCTGAATAATTTCTCTGCAAAAACAACTTTTATGGCTGGGAATATCTTCTTCTCAAGTGACTGTGCAGTCGTGTTATTGCTGACATGTCCAAACAGAGCAACACAATTTAAAAGATAGAAATCGTTCAGAGAATTTCACCGTTTTAACTATAAGGGAACAAACCTGTTCCTACATAAAGCTTGATATTATTAGTAAAATTAAAACTAAAAATAAAATTGACCCTGAAGTAAACATGTACAGTGGGGCAAATAAGTATTTGATACAGTGCCGATTTTTCAAGTTTTCCCATGTTTTTTGTAGATATGATGAAAATGACAGATCTGTCTATTCTTTTTAAGTGGGAAAACTTGAAAAATCGATGGTGTATCACATACTTATTTGCCTCACTGTATGTCCCCATCAAACCCTTCAGGGTTGGATTCAGTATCAGTTTACTGGCCATGTGTGTTGGACACGCGAGGAATTTGACTCAGGTACATCGGCTCTCGATGTGAAAACAGTAGACCAGCATAAGGCTATGTAATATAACAAAATAGCAGTATTATCAACAACCAGTGCAAACAATGCAGAAGAAGCAGTATAAACAGACAGCAAACAATGCAAGGACGTACAGTTTAGACTGAGGCAGCTAGCTAGCTAGATGTTTAGCTTATGTCACAGAGAGGCACACACACACAGTGGGTGAGGTGAGTAAGTGACTGAGGCTTATGCAGTGATTTATTTTAGAGTGACACTGAAGAAACATTTACATCCCGCTCTGTAAGACAGGGTGGGATCAGTGGCAGCTTTGCGCATGCGCATTTCATTTGCAATCTGGGCGCAGAGCGGTGTGGCTCTCCTCTCTCCTCTCTGCTCTAACTGCAGCTGGGACTGCCGCACGAGGCTACAGTGAGACCGACCGCCTGTGGGTGCTTTAGGACGGTGGAGGGGCAACACCCGCTGCTCACTGAGGACAGTAACTGCAGAGCGATACGTGCTTTCATGTCAGTCTCCAAAACATCAAAAAAGTCTCCAATAACACCAGAAAAAGTCACTAGATTTGTTGCTAGTTGCTTTTGACAAAACAGTCGCCAAGAGGATTTGGAAAGTCGCCAGATTTAGTGAGAAAGTCGCCGAGTTGCCAGAAACACTGGCAGAAATACGGTTGCTGACTTTAAGTTCAGGTTTATTTATTTTGGAATAATATTGTATCCTGTCTGCAGCAACAATTTTTTTAAAATTGAAAACCCGATGAAAATTTGTATTAATATAGGTGTGGCCACTGGTTTAATAAGTTAGGCTAGATTGTAATAATCACATCATCAGTTTAATTGCTGAGACCGCCCAG